TTTTTTTTTTTTTGCAGTACCAGGGTTCAAACTCAGGGCCCTGTGCTTGCCAGGCAGGCATTTATACCACTGAGTTATCTCCCCAGCCCTAGCCTAGGACTTCTGGGGAAACACACTCAGAACCTAGGAAGAGGATGTGAGCTCCACTCACCACGTGGTTTCCATGCGCTTGCTAGTCATAAGACTGCCCCTTTTGGCTGCAAATATAGGCACGTCCTCTGAGCTAGGCCATCAGTGTCCCATATTGACCAACAGTATGGTACACAATCCAAATCAGGCCAACGGGAGCTGGTGAGATAGTTCAGGGGACTAAGTGCCTGCTTAGGCAAGCACAGGGACTGTGGTTCAGTCCCTAGCACCACATGCCCTCTGGCCCCACCCCTAGAGCGGGCTGGGCCAAATTACAGGGTCCAGGTGTGATGGTGCACGCCCGTGATCCCAGCACTGGGGAGGCTGAAAGCAGGAGGATCAGTGTGAGTCTGAGATGCGTAATGAGACCCTGTGACAACCAAATACATAAAACAAAAACAAAAGCACAAACAAATCAGGTCAAGGGAAACTCTGGCCCAGGATATTACAAATGTAGAGTGGGAAGTGGGGAAGCTCTCTGTGGGTTATGTATAAGAGGGGGTGTTGTAAGTAGGATCTTCTGGGAGGCCTGTGCCAGCCCTTTCAGTGTGGAGGAAGGATGTCAGTAAATCCAAGGCACTCTGAGGTGACAGCAGAGGTGAGAAGAGGAACCTAATAGCACTGTTTGGGTTTTTGGCATCCCTGAAGCAAGGCATCTTGCTTCTCATGAAACCAAATTTCCCTTCTGCACTCACAGAAGATTGGTTTGGATTTCTTTTCATTTGAACCAGAAGTCTAAACAGGGAATAGGATTTGAGTTGTATCTTCTAAAAATGGGTAGGAGTTTGATATGCTCAGGAAAGAAGTCAGGGTGCTCTAGGCAAGCAGAGCTGCTTTAATGAAGGTCCAGCAAGGAAAATGAGCTCACTGTGCCTGGGGATCTGAGAACATCTGCTAGGATGGAGCAGTTTTGTTTTGTTTTGTTTTTTGGCGGAACCGGGGATTGAACTCAGACCCTTGCACTTGCTAGGGAAGCACTTATTCCACTGAGCCATCTCCCCGGCCCAATGGAGCAGTTTAGAAAGGAGAAAGTTGGCACAAACAAGTCAGGGGGCCAGGCATGGGGAGGTGCGCACTTGTAGCTCCAGCACTCCAGGAGCTAAGGCAGGAGGACTGCAAGTTTGAGCCCAGCCTCAGTAACTTGGATGTAGCACAGCATGATTACTATGGATTCAGCCCGCCAGTATGCAAGAAGCCTAAACCTAAAAGAGCACAAAAATCATGTCAGGCAGATTATTAAAGGAGAGAACAGCTAGAGGTTTTGGTTTTTTTTTTTTTTTTTTTTTTTTTTTGTATTTGGTACAGAATCTCCCCATGCAGCTTGGACTCATAGTGATCTTCTTGTTTTCAGACTCTCCTATCCTGGGATTACAGGTGTGTGCCAAACTGCCCTGACTCAATCACCAGCTCAGCACACCCAGGGAGCAGGGCTGGCATGGCAGTTGGGAAGTTGGAGAGTATTTTTAAAACCTAGGTAAGATCTAAGACCTGATTAGGAAGAAACAAAGTTTTAAATTTTTTTTAAGAAAAACTATTTATTTAATGATAATTTCTTGAAAGTCAGTTATGTTAAGTCTACTCAGGCTTCCATGACAGAATCCTACAGATTGACTTGGAAATTAAGAGATGTCTATTGTCTCACAGTTGTAGAGTACCAAGTTTGGCAAATTTGGTTTCTGGTGAGGGCTCTCTTCCGGGCTGTTGCGGTGGTCTTCTCAGTGGTTGTCAGATGGCTTTTCGCTTCTGCACCCTCAGGGGTGCTTGGTATCTCATCCTGTACTTTAGGGAAACCACTTCTAACAGGTTAAAGCCACACTTTTATGTTCAGACTTATTTATCTCTAACTATATCCATAGAGGTCTACCTCCAATTAACAGCCGCACTAGGGCCTGAGACTTCACATGTAATAGGAGCGGGGTAGCACAATTCAGTGCACACTGTCTATCAAAAGTAAGGGCAGGAGAAAATGAAGGCCATGGGGACATCACACACAGCCATGGTGTGTGCACACACTTATGTACACATGCTTATCAGGGAGGGCAAAGCCATCCCAACTGGTTGGAAGAAACACGCAGTCCAGTCTAGTCATGTGGAACGTGCACATCCAGGACCAGCACTACCACTTTGATTTTGAAAAGATTTTTGCCCCTGTACAACATGGAGTACATCCTAAAATGACGATTACAGTATTATTATTTCTTTTTTTTTTTTTATCATATTGGGGATTGAACCTGGTAGTGCTCTTCCACTAAAGTCTATCCCCCGCCCTTTTTATTTTTTAGTTTGCGACAGGATCTCACTAAATTGCCCAAGGTGGCCTTGAATGTGCAATCTTTCAGCTTCAGTCTCCCAAATGGCTTGGATGACAGACATGTGCCACCACAGGAGGACTGGAGCTGGCTCACACCTACTGGGGGTCACCCTTCCCAATTCCTGTTTCACTGACTTCACGTGGTAGGTTGCAAGTGACTATGGTGAAAGTGTTACACTACTGAAATAGGCAAATGCTTTAACCCAAGTCTCCCCCTCCCCTAGACTCATTTGCTAAACACTGACCAGATATTAGTGTATGTCTATAAATATTAAAATATTTAAAAAGCACACCATATCATAGTATCTGTATAAGGATTAGCATTCAGTAATAATACATATCAGACATGGATAACTTATTCAGAGGAAAGAGGAATGCCATTAGGGAGGGAGACACAAGAGCTGCAAGTGAATTTAAAGTGTTTCAGGTCTTAAGCAGGACACGTGTTAGTTATTGTGTTCACCATACTTCTTGCTTTCTGAACTATCTAGCAAGTCTGTGTCACACAGGAGCCAGTTCTTCATAGAGCACATGGGTAAGAAAGGGCAGGTGCTAGACATGGCCCTTGTGTCACCTGCTGTCGCTGCAGCAAGGCTAGATCTGTGCACCCAAATTTGCCCACAGGAGTTCTGCATGAAGTCATGATATCCCTGGGGCTGCACGCATGCCATATTTAGTTCTGAGGTTCTTCAGAGACAGGGAGAGTAATATCAACATAGTGAAGAAGTGAGAATGTCTGAGAGGACTCCATCTGGAGAACAGGCTCATTTCTGGAGGGCTCTGCTCTCTCACCTCTGTACACTGCCTAGTAGGCAGTGGGTGTGTTTACTTATAGGCAGAGAACAGAGGGGATAACATAGTACAAGGGGATATTTCTCATCAGTTTTGGTCAGAAAGCGAACTCAGATTCCTCTAGAAAGGAGTGAGTAGGGAGTGCTAAGGACAGATCCACAGTTACCACCAGACCAGAAACGTTCTCAGGGAGTGGCTTTGCTCCTACGGAAAGCTCTAGCCTTTCCACTGGGGATTCTGCCATGTTTTTATTCTGAGGTGAGGTGGTGTAAATTACCCTGTGTCATTTATATAACCCTTCCTCTTGAGACAAGTTAATAGTGCATTATGAAAAAAAAAATAGTGCATTATGGACTGGTCTGGATTCTGTACCTCTTACAGACCTCCCTTCACCCTTTTCTAGGGAGACATACTGACAGTATGCGAAGCATACCAGGCTAGTTCTGCACATGCTGTTCTCTTAGCCCAGAACACCCCACCCACCAACAGGACCTTCTATGTGTTTAAGCCCTTCCTGTGAGCAAGTTTCCACCCAGCCCTCCACCAGAGCAGAGTTTCTCTGTTTTTAGGATGTGCCTTCATCCATCCCTTCCCATGCAATATGTCCAGTGTTGAGAAAAATCCTGTGCTGTTGTCCCAGGGCTTGGCACAACCTGGCCACAGTCTCTGCTTAGTAGCAGAGGAAAAGAGTGAGGAAGAGTAAAACCAGCCCTTACTCTTCTCTTCTTGTGACATCTCTTCCTTTACTCACCCTTCCTCTTTCACACTGTCTGCTAATATCATGCAGAATTCAATTGTACACAAAGAAGCAAGACAAGAGAAGAGGCAGGGGTGCCAGAGATACGGACACAGACACAAGTGACAAGCACAAAAGGTGCAATTGTGCAGTGCTGTGGAACTTCACTTTACCCAGTGTGGTTTGCGGGAGATGAACCACCCAAAATACAAAAGTTTGAGGTGCACTGGAGACGAGGGTCAGGGGTGCCAGCAAAGTTCCTGGTCTACTCTTTCCCCTCAGCTCTGAGCCTCTTCTGCCGCTTCTGTGGGTGTCTCCAGACCTGGTCTGCAGTCTCCTGAACTACTGTTATTTAGTAGCCAGCTATTTCATGTGTGTTAAGCCCTAAATTCTGTTCTGAATACAACAGTAGTAGGTTCCACTAATTAATTAAATTGTACTTCATAGACTTGGAGTCAGGTCTCTTGCATACAAGATGCAAATTTATGCAACATATGCAAATCACTCATGTTCTCAAATTCCATGAACAAAATCTGGTAGCCTTGAGATAAAAAACCCCTGCCAAGCATCATCTCTCCTAATTATTGCTTAATTTCCCCCCCCTTGAACACTGAACTAACACTTTCAGGCTTGGCAGATACTGGAAAACACACAATGAAAGCTGGTTAATAAACAGGAAGTTCCTTAAGGGCAAGGACCCTGTAAGCTATGCATTTCATGTTCTCCAGAAGCTCCTAATACACCACAGTCTCATTCAGGGGATATACTGTTGTTGACTATTAAATTATGAGCAGTTCAGATGAACCAAAGCTGACAGCCCTCATGCTTTGCAAAAAACTATGGCATATAAGACTAGAAACAGGAAAATGATGACCTGTACTGGCTGTTTTGTGGAATGATTTTTTTGTTGTACAGGGTCTCACTATGCAGCTCTGACTCACAGGCATCCTCCTGTCTCAGTACGCCTGGGGTTCCAGGGCCAGCATGGCGTGTGGTACTGGGGATTGAACCCAGATTCTTGCACTTGCCAAGCAGGCACTTAGACCACTGAGCTATCTCCCCAACCTCTTGTGGAATAATTTTTAAAATTAATTCACATTAAATAAATTTTTAAAATTTAGTTCTCAGACTAGCCATATTTCAAATGTCTCCCAGCTACATGTGACTCTTATCAGGCAGTGATGATGCCGAATAGCTCCATTATTCTGCAGAATCTGTCAGATAGCACTGATCAGGCCACTCACTCGTCCAGGTGTGGCCCCAGGCCCAGCAGGACAGGAGCCATGGGGCTTCCCAGAAATGCAGAATCTCAGGCTGTGCTCCAGATTCACTGAGTCAGGGTCTACATCTTAACAAAATCTTCACTTAGTTCACCTGCATATCTATGGAGAGGCACTGATCTAGATACAGAAATATAAATCCAATGGTTCTCAAATGTATAAGCATTCATCAAAATCATCTGTAGTACTTGCAATCATCTGTAGTACAGATTGTTGGACCCCAGTTATGAGTTTCCCACTGAGTAGGTATATTTCTCTCTTAAGACTACCTTTAAAAAATTACCATAGTGCATATGATTTCAAATAAAAGAAATCTATTTTTCATTTCTGGAGGCTAAAAGTCTGAGATCAAGGTGCCAGCAGGGTCATGCACCCTCTAAAACGCAGGGGAATAGCTATTTCCTTGCCTCTTCCTACTGTGTGAAGGATGCTGGCATTCCGAGGCACGCACTGACTGCAGCCATGTAGTGCTGATGTCTGACTCTATCTTCTTACTGAGTTCTTCTCTGAGCATCTGTCTATGTGTCTGTCTTCTCTTCTAATAAAGTTACTTGGCATACTGTGGTAAGGGTGTATCCTACTCCATCATAGCTCACTTAGCTTAATTAATTAATGGTACCATTTCCAAATAAGTCTGCCTTTAGAGGTACAGGGAATTAGGACTTCAGTACCTCAGTCATTTATTCATTTTAGATAGGCTTTCACTTAGTTCAGGCTGGCTTTGAACTCACTATGTTGCACAGACTGGCCTCAAACTCACAGTGATCCTCTGCTTCAGCATCCTGAGTGCTGGGATCATAGGCTTGTGCCTCCACACCTGGCCAACATCTCTTTTAGAGAACATAATTTGACACAAGGAGGAAAGTTAGGAGAGGGTCCTGATCATCTACATTTTTAAGGAGCTCCCAGCTGAAGTTGATCTGCTCTGGGGACCACACTTTGTAAAACTAAGTAAAACTGTCTATCCAAACAGGTGTATATGTGGGGCTGGAGAGATGGCTCAGTGGTCTAAAGCACCTACTTGGAACAAGCTTGGCAAAGCACAGGGACCGCGGTTCAGTCCTCCAGCACCACATGCCAGCCAGTCCCGCCCCCAGGTGGGCTGAGCTGGCCACACACACACACACACACACACACACACACACACACACACACTAAAGGAATAAATAAATAAATAATTAAACAAACAAACAAACAAACAAACAGGTGTATATGAAGGTGAAGGTTGGCTGGGCATGGTAGCGCACACCTGTAATCCCAGCACGTGGCAGGCAGAGGCAGGAAGATTGTCATGAGATGAAGCCCAGCCTGGGCTACAAAGAGAAGTTGAGGACAGCCTGAATTATACAGAGAGAACTTGTCTCAAAAAAAAAAGGTGAAGTTTGTATTATGTTACAGAAATAACTATTCAACTTCTCAAATGTGGAGAATTTCCTCTTTCCTTCCTTCTTTTCTTCTTCTTCTTCTTTTTTTTTTTTGGTACCAGGGATCAAACTCGGGAAAGTGCTTGCCAGGCAGGGTCTTGAGTTATCCCCATGGCCCTCCTTCTTTCTTTCTTTTTTTTTTTTTGGAAGGGCTTTTGCTATGTTCCCCACGCTGGTCTTTGACTCCTGGGCTCAAGCAATTTCTTTCCAAAGCTTCCCAATTAGTTGGGATTATAGGCGCGTGCCACTGTACTCAGCCAGAATTCCATTTTAAAGCATGCTTGAGAGATAGCTGTCTGGTGTGTTCACAATAATTCCAACGGTAGGCTTTGCATTATTAGCATAGCAGCCATCTCTGTGACTGTCCCTGTGAGAATGCCTGCCCTTGAAACTTTCCGACTATCTCAGCTACGCATGTACTGTGTATATAACTGAAGACACCAAATGTCTCACTATTAAATTCTACACTCCCTCCGTGGAGCAGTGTTTTCAGCATTCTCCAGATTCTGACTTGATTTTGAGGGCACAGTTGTTGAATCTTTCAGGGGTAGTAATTATACCCATACTGATTATGAATTAATCAGAAATACACACAGATGATGATCAAAAGATCAGCCTTATTTCCAGTAAACACAGATTGGAGAGAACTTGAACCATAACCTTCAGAACCTTCCTACTATTCCCTAGTGAATCTATTTTATCTGACATAGTTACAGGGATACAAGACAACTCAGTCTACTCTGTGAGAGGTTTTGACAATGAACTATGGCTGTTACCATAGAGAGGGAGACTACAATGGGGAGAGGTCAGATTTTCTGAAAGAGAAGAGGAAATCCGCCTAACTTCACTTGCTAGGTGCTCATCCACCCAAAAAGATGTTGCTATTTAACACCCGTTCCATTTATTTTCCT